ATTTTCTGTCACATGTACATTACTTGAACATCCCTGTTAACTTTTAGCTTACATGGAGTCTGTTTTTCCAGCTCTTGGAGCTGTATGATGTCACAGAGGGGATATCCCTAATAACACTTATAATAAAGCTGACTTAAAGGGAAGGCCTTAACCCCCATCCTAATCACTAGGGTTCATGCAGACCCGAGGTGTATATTTGTTGTAATATCTACCTCATTCCACTTTTTTACAACCTTGTCAAAAGCACCCAATGGCACCTATACAGTTTTAAAGATTTGAACTTTTTATTCACTTAATGTTTGCCATGAACCCCAAAGTAAAGTAATATAAAACATCTGGGGAGTAAGTAGGTTACATTTTGGCGCTATAGTGGAACCAAAGCTGGGTCGTAATTTGGTCCTTCTGTCACCAGCCAGCATAGCCTGAGGCAAGTTATTAATGTCAGCTAAGAAGAGAAATACGTATTGGAAATAATATAATCATAAATAATCAATAACAAATATACACCAATTATCATTTTCTCGACTGTTTCCATTTGCATTTTTCTTTTCTTTTTGTAAATTCTCCCATTGTTAACCAAACTAAAACTACCAGCATCCACCTTTTTTTTTTGTTTAATGGAAATTTTGATTGATTTTGATAATAAAACACTGAAAACTGAAGAATTTCTGTCACTTGAATCCAGATTCATATTTTTAAAAAATGCTTCAGCATACTGCTTTTTAATGAGACTATTTAATCGGAAATAAGAGTAGCATGGAGATTTTGTAAAGTAGTGAAACAAATTCTACTTTTTACTTAATTAAAAAGTACAAAAGTTTTACCTTAAAATATATTTCATGTGAAGACAGTGAAAGTGCTCATTGTGCAGAACACATAATCACATTGGATCATATTTATTGATTCATGTATTTATTACTTATTGATATAAGTTACTTATTTACTGCTAAGTTTCTTTCTCTTTATCCAAAATAAAACAGCATGACATATTATTATAGTTCATGAAAGCTGTACTTTAGAAAAGAATTTGAGACAATGCACCCCACATCATTCTTATTTCTGAAAATCAGATGAACAGAGTTATCTTTCTCCCACGTCTCTCCTGCTCCTTAAAAGTCCCATGTTGATGTGGTTAGATACAAAATAGAAAACTACAACCAAAATAAAACAAAATGCAACAAAGGTATTTACATATAGAAGCTGAGGCAGCATCTCTTTGGTTCCTTCTCTGCAGTTCCTGCTGTGTACGTTCATTGGAAGTCTGCTGATGCTCAGAGCTGGAGCTATCACTGCTGCAGCCCGACCAAACGTAAGGACCCGGTTTCTTTTTACTGTGTTGGTTCTGTATTCAACATTCAGCAACGAAGCTTCTCCCTCAAACTCAGCATTCCCAACAAAACACAAACAGATCCCAGGTTCATGCAGGAACATCAGAAACATGGAGGTTTTTCATTGTGCTACATGGACCTTGTCAGAGTTGACATCCTGAAAGAAGAAATGCATTTTAACCACAACAGTAATTTACCAAAAAGTATGAAGAGTGCTAACAGCACACCACTTGGGTTCTGTTGGGTTATCTCAAAGTTAATTAGGAAAGTGTGTGGGGGGACCTGAGTTTGAGTACAAAGTGGAAAAAAAAGTTACAGGACCTATAAAGTTTATTTTTTAGAGGTATAGCAGATGTTTCCCTTTTTTCTCAAGAAAAATTAAACGCAAATAATTGTTTATCCTGTAAATTAATAGTATTAATGTTTCAGACAGGCACAGCTGATGAAATTTGCTCTCTAGCTCCAACACTGAACGTTTTATTATTAGCCGGTAGCTTAATCCAATGTAGCAGATGGCTAATGTGGCTGTTGGGTAACTGCTAATGGCTAAACGGCAAATGTTACTGACAATGTTCCCTCTAATTTTCCATGTGTCTGAGCGAACACACAAACTCCCTGAGCGGTCCCTTGGA